AAGCTACAGTCGGTTACAGGCAAAAATTTAAAGATCATTGTTTGGCGCATGGAGAAAAAATGTAAAGCCGGCTCCAACTTTGTAGCTGACTGTAATATCCCAAAATTTTGGGGTATTTTAGCATTAAATTGGGGACTTATTTGAGGAAAAATATTGTTTTGAGGCTTAATTGTAAAATCTTTAAAAGTTGAGGGACTTAAAAGAAAGGAAATTAGGATAAGGATGAATTGCTTTTTCTTTTTCTTTTTCTTTCTTTTCTTCTTCACAGCCGCGTGTTTCTTCTTCTGCTTCCCTTCCTCCCCCGACCCTCTGCACCCGACGAGTCCCCCCAACTACCGCCACCCATTTCCGGCCGGAAATCCGGCAAAGCTTGGGGATTTCTCCATATGTTCTTGTCTTAGAACACCTGTTGAACCCAGAAAATCCCAGATCTGCGTCTTCCTCCCTCTGCTGTCCGTCGGCTTCAACTTGTGGGTTTGAAATTTCTGGGCATTTTTCGGTAAGAACAGCCTTGAATCCCCCTTTTCTCTCTTGATTTAGGCTTGGGTTTGCCTTGAATTGTGTTTTGGTTTTTGGATTGGGTAGCCCGCGAGTTCCCCTGCAGAATTTCTTCTTCCTTGCCGCCGGCTTTTTCCCCCCTGCTAGGCTCGGTTTTGCTTTCTAAACTCTGGTAAGTTGCTGGCCTTTCCAAGCTGAAAAATTACCCATTTAATTGCTGGGTTTTGTCCATTAGTTGATGCTCTGTGTTGTCCGAATCTGCTGGGATGGGGGATGAATTTGGCAGCCCTTTTTATTGTGTTTTAAGCTTGATTATGTAGAATTTAGCTTGAATTAGCCGCTGTGATGTTTTGTGTGAGAAATCCCGTGTGCGTGAGTTGTGATTTGCCCAAGTTATGCCCTCCATGTGCTGCCCGTGAGATTGGGGAAATTTTGGTAGCTTTAAGCTATGTTTTAAGTGTGGTTTAAGTAGGAAATTAGCTTGATTTGGCCTATTGTGATTTTTGGAGAAAACCCGTGAGATTATTTTGGAGGATTGCAGTCACTGTTCACTGCGGATCACTGTTCACGGGCACTGTTCACGGGCACTGTTCACACACCGAGGGTCAATAATTAACGGGGATTTAAACGATTAGTTTGTGATATAAGAATAAATTGGAGATGTCCGATTATGTGGAGATTGATAGGAATAGCATTGGGATTAGGAGTGATTTTAATGATGATTTTAGTTTGAATTTGTGGTAGTCCGGTATTAATTCTGAGGTGTTTTGATTAGGTTCCCGATCGTTCTGTCAGTTAGCACTGAGATTGAGTGCTCGGTTTTATGCGAGTGAGGTAAGTAAATCATGGTAAAGCCCTTCGATTTTAAAGCATGTTTTAAAC